AAAAAAAAAAAACCAGTAACTGAAAGTTCAGAGAGCTAGTTGCTATGAAATTGAAAATAAAGTTCTAAAACCTAAACCACAACTACAATTTGAAATAAAGTTAACATGAAGAGTGTTTCTCTTATTGGAATTCTAACAGATACTAATTTGAAGATTGCTTCATGAGCATTGGCAATAATATCATGGCTAACACTGTCTCTTCTTCAGCACTTACCAAGTAGTGCTCTACATACACTAGGCACTTAATACCTATTTGAACCAAAACATTACATACCACATATCTAAAAACATCTGATTTCATTGGATAGCTTAGTTACACCAATTATTTCATTCTGTTTAAATAACTAGTTACATCATTTCAATGCATTTTCCCATTGAATTCTTCTGTAAGAAATAACTATAATTTTAATGCCTAAAACCACTCTGATTAAAGCTGTGAAAAGGATGTGCCTGTAGAATTTGTCCTGATTCCCAGCAGATTTTTACACTTAACTACAACTTCCTTACATGCTCCAAACAGATAACATCACAATGGGTTGGATGTCAATCGATCCATCAATAGATATACAGACGTATAAAAGTACTGGTAGCTACTAAATTTCTGTAATACATGCTAGCTAGGTTCTAGAATCCTATTAGTACCATGGTCACAGAAATAGGTAAAAGATGTTAATATTTCAAAAATTTTCATAACCTCAATCCAAAAATGATTTAGACATCACAATTTCTTTTATTAAGGCTGTCACAAACCGTCCTATTTACCACACACAGAAAAAAGCAGAAGTAGCTGTTGTCTTTTTCTTACAACAAACAAAAAAAAAAGTTCTATAAAAGTCAGATTTATTTTCAAAGCAATTGTGTATGGGGACAGAAGGAGAAGTATCATAAGAGAACTCACATTTATAGTGTGTTAAGGTTAGTAAAATGTCTTACTCACAATGACCTTATGAGGTAAATAAAAGACCTAAGGTCATGAGACAGATAATAGCAAATGGGAGTTATCATTCTCTCACCTTCTCAAAGTAACCAAAAATTTAATATTTAGGCATTCTGAAAATTAACAATTAGTAATCAGAACCCAAAAGAGAGGGAGGGGGAAAGATGATATAAATAAAAACTCAATATGACTCCTAGATCACATCTAGAAAACCAGTGAATGACAACTGGACATACCCATTGGCTGTTTGTTTTATTTTTCTGTAGTAGATTACAAGAGAAGCCTGAAAGTCTGTTACACCTCCTTGATAATAACTGAGACACATTTGGAAGATACAGATATAGATACATATCTATATATATACACATACAAATACATATACACACACATATATGTATACACACACAGGGAAAACTAAAAATACTAAAACTAAAGATACTTATTGAATGACACCAGTTACTAGAGAAACTTAATAAAATTCTCAAACACATCTCACCCCCAGGGAGAATCTACAATTTGCACTGAATACCTAAATGCTACCTTTTATACGTAGTTATTAATATTTAAAATGTATGACCTATAGTTTTATGTACCTTTTAAAAAATCACAGTAATTGTAAAAACATCAAATTTCCCACTCTCTATTTTCTTAAAATCAATTATCAGACTGGTATTGGTTTTTTTTTTTTTAATCCTTTACACATAGCATGATGCCTGGCACCTTAATAAATGCCTATTGATTGAATGTTTTACAAGAAAGGAACAGTGTCGGAAGAAAAATAGCACAAATCACACAAAAGTTGCAATTTTTTTTACAAGACCCTTAAAAAAGAATTAAAAAGGTATAATGATAACATTTGTTGACTATTTGTATTGCAACACTATGCTGGCTGGTATAAAAGTAGCAAAGGAAACTAAAATCAATTAGAAAGCTTTCTAACAGTACAGTGTAACAACCACAAAACTACATGACCAGACCTTAAGTTTTTTGGTCTGCAAAAATGCACTTAAAATTAAAATAATGGAAAATTTTCTTCAGGCATTTTGCAACTATAACATTGACGGAATTCTTAAAACAGACATGAAGGTCTTTGGACAATTATGCTAAAGATAGTTACAAGTGCTTACGAAATACATAAACATCTATTTATTTACTCTAAACCACTCTGCAATACCAAGGATTCAAGACTTAGAAGTTTTTTATCAGCTATAAGAATCTACTTTCTCATAATTTTACATACTTTCACACCACACTAATACTGGAAACAAACTCGAATTTTAGATACCAAATCACAGCCCCTAACAACCAATTTGACAGAATCTCAAGTACCATTTCTACTTTACAAATTTCCTATCACCCAAACCACAGAGTTCCTTCAGAAATGATAAAGGGAGGGGCAACTAGGTGGCAGAGTGGATAAAGCACCAGCCCTGAAGTCAGGAAGACCTGAGTTCAAATCCAGACCCTGACCAAACACTTGACACTTACTAGCTGTGTGACCCTGGGCAAGTCACTTAACCCCAATTGCCTTTAAAAAAAAAAAAAAGTACCATCTTTAGAAATGATAAAGGGAATATAAAAAAGTTTCACATTTATCAAATTACTTAAATTTAATACTGCTTTTATCTGATAAATGAAGAACCCCAAAATGCATGCTGGTAAACTGCTTCTTTTTCTGATAAAAAAAAAAAAAGATAGCATTCACTCTGAATGCTTTACGGACAAAATCGGTCACTTAAAGTAACCTGAAAAGTGTTACTCATCTTTGTCAAATGACTATTTTTACTCCCCACCTCTCAAGATGGTTGTGAGGAAAATACTTTGTCAAAACATATTTAGGTTTTTATCATCTCTTAGTATTTTACTTAATCATTCAACAAGTATTAATTGTCTGCTATGTGCAGAACACTGGATAACAAACTGAAAATCATAAAGTTTACTAAACAAGAAGGTTAAAATTTATATTGCTTTGAGAGTCACTACCCACATATTGGGTTGTTGGTGTTTTTTTTCTTTTACAATTTGGACCTATATTCCCCCCTCTTAAATTTAAAATAAATAAATAAGCAAAAGGTCAATAAAAATATTCAGTTGACAATAGCCTCTGAATCCTGCCAACAATTCATTAAATAGAAAAACTGAAGAGCAGTATCTAGAATAATGAAGAGATATACTATGTGTATACTCAATAAGAAAATTTCAACCAACACTTAACATGTTCATTTTCAAATTGTTAAACAATTAGGTAGGAGATGGAGTTAACTGCCTCAGCAACTAGATGTCCAATTAGGATGGTGTTTAATGACATCACCGTTAATACTGGTATAATCAGAAAGGGCAGTTTCCTAGCAGGAAAGCTGGAGTGAAGCTGGGCCAGGAGAACTTAGTTAATGACCTCCTAGTTTATCTAGAAAGAAATACCCTGGAGGTAAAAATGCATATCCCAAAAACAAAGGAGTGGAGAATTCTCCTATTAAGCTAAAAATCTAATACTGTGGGGAATTTAAATTGCTTCTACTTTTCTACATATTAGTTAAGAAACAAGTTTTTCACTATTTTACAAAGAAGAACTATTAGGGATGATACTGTATAATTGACAAGTTGTAAGCAATATGTAATGATTTACTAAACCAAATGAGGTCCTTCCATTTCAACTGGAATAATTGGAGAGAAAAAAGTTCATGCTAAATTTCAACTCAAGTATTTTAGGCAGGGGGGAAAAATCAGTATATATACACTGATTAACATTTCCTGAAGACAACTAAAATCTTATCTGTTAAAATGATTTTAGTCCGGGAATGAACAAAAAATGTTTAGAGAATTTGCATTATACTTTGATGGGTAAATTAAAATATGCAACAAGACCAATCACTCTACAAAAGTAAATTCTTTTATGTTTTCTACTTTTAAAAAGCCTAGGCATTATCTAAGATCTTAAAATGACTTCTGGCTCATAAAAAGGATAAAACTGACTTTAAAAAAAGGAATCATCATGCTGAGACTCAAAGGTGCTAACAGGCACAAGTCAGAACTTGTTAACAAATTATCATCAAGTTCACTCACATGCCTTTTTAAATTGTCTACTTGAAATTACTCACTTTTTTTTCTCAAATAGGTGAGTTTCTGCTTAAGCTTTGCTGCAAAAACTAAAGGCATTAGAAATCACCTGCAATTTATTTTTTCAAACGTTTAAGCAGTAAATTTACTCATTGTTAAAAAACATATTTATTGATGTTCACCTCCCCCCCCAAAAAATAATCAAAATCTTCTGACTAAACCTTTAATAAAATCTTAGACAGTACAGGAAGACACCATCCCACACTAGACAGACCACTAAATGTATTGCCTTCAAGTACAATGAACCACGGGTGTCTATTGATAAAAACCATCAAAGGAGTCGTCCGTTTTAGCTTTTTCTTCACAGCTCTGCAAAATAAATAAAAGATATTTCTCCAAAGCAGCCCCATCTACAGTACTCGAAAGGCAAAAAGAGTTAAAAAAATAAAAATCCAAGAAACTAGAACAAGCCAACTGCGAAGGGGCGGAAGAGGAGAGGGGAGGAAAAAAAACAGGACGTGAAACAAACTTAAAACTCTTCCGCAACTTCCAGTGGGAAATTAGGTTTCTCGTTTTCCGACCCAACATGCTTTGCACGGCCAAATAGTACAACTAGCGAACAACAAAGAGTTGTAGGAGCCAGAGGGAGGAAGACGTTGGAGGGGGCGCTTCGCCACCCAGCACTAGGCTCTGCTCCCTGACGGGGGAGGTTAGGAAGGAGCCCGGGGAAAGTGCCCGGAAGGGCCGGGAAGGGAGGGATGGGGCCGACCGTCTATTAGCTACCCCCACACGACCCGGGCAAAGGAGGGGCGGCCAGTGGCCGGCCCAGCCCAGGGCAGCCCGGGGATGTCCGGGCCGCCGCTGGGTGTAGCCCCGGCGGGCGGGCGGGGGGAGCCTGCCGAGGCCCGGCCGGCTCCACCTGTGGCCGGGGGTAGGGGGGCCCACGTGTGCCTGGCTAGGATCCCCGGGGAGGGTGCGCCCAGCCGGGACGGGGGAGGGAGAGGACATGGCGCTGCTGTTACCTGGGTTCCGGCCGCCGCGGGCAGGAGGGAGGCGGCGGCGGCGGTCCTCTCCCGCCCCTGGGCTCGGGCGAAGTCTGGGCCGCCGCCGCGGCCTGGCACAGGGCGCGCAGCGGGCTCCCTCCCGGCCGGGCCGCCGCCGCCGCCGCGGCCCCCGGCCTCCCTGCCCCTCCTCGGGGCCGGGCCGCCCTCCCCCTCCTCACGGGTCGGGCCGGCTCGAGCTCCCGGGCGGCCGACCCGCGGCGGGGGCCTCTCCCAGGACGGCACCGGGCTCTGCTCACCCGCCGCGGTGCCCACCCCTTCCCGCCCCCCGGGCGGCGGCCGAGCGGAGGGGAGGGCGACCGGGGCTTCGGGAGGAGAGCGAGCGGAAGCGCGGACTCCGCCACCCGGGACGCTCCGTTAAGGCGACGACGACCGGGGCCGTGTTGTTGCTGCCAACTTGTCGAGGGGGGCACTGGGCATGCGCAAACGCAGACCACATCCGGGTAATTTTTTTTTTTAACCAGAGCCCGTGTGGCTTTTTTTTTTCCCTTCTCCTTTCTCCTCTACCCGCTCCCCCCCCATCCCCACCCCCATCCCCGCCTCCCTCCTCTCTTCGCTCCCCCGCCAGCAGGCCTCCTCTGTTTCTCCTCCCCCTGCTTCTATCTCGGGGATTCGGAGCACACTGCAGCGCGCAGGCGCGTGCTGGTCAGATTGTTCTTTGGAGCTGAACGCCGCCCAGGGCTTCAGGCCTGAAGTAGGGAGGGCAAGTTTAATGAATGGAAGCGGAGGAGGCGCCGAACGCGAGGACGACTAGCTCCGAGGTCGCTGGCGCTGCCCAACCCAAGAGGGGGCCCGGTGGCTGCGTTGTTTCCATAGCAATCTCCCGGCTACTTTTTTTTTGCTTTTTCTCCAGTGGAGGGAAGGAGAAAAGAGAACTCATCAAAGACACTTCTTGCAACAACGCCCTGTCAGAAATGAGTTTGGGGGGGAAGTCTGGAAAATAGCCCTTTACCCCTTTCCCAACCCGACCCAACTTCTAAATCCGTAGACTCAGAAGTGTCCAATCAGAACTATCTGAATTCCAAGATTCCCTGCGTCCCCACTATGAAAAGAGGGGGAAAGTTCAATAAATGACAAAAAAGTGGTGACTAGAAGCTCCTTGAGGCTCCATAATATGGAGACATATATCTAATATAATTATAACATATAATGTAATATATAATAGATATTACTTATGCATGATATATATATGCATGTGTGACTGGAAGTTTATATATAAGGTTGTGTATGCATATATGTGTTACATGCATGCACATCTGTATGATATATGTATCATACATCTATTGCCATACCCATCTATAAGCTTCCAGGCGTGTATGTGTATGTGTATTATGCATATATGTATACCCCTCATCCCCTCCACAATTATTACATGCCACTGTGTGCTAGGTACGGAGTTGGAGATACAAAAAAAAAAAAAATTAATAGTCCCTTACCTTTAAGATGCTTATATGGGGGGGTATCACAGAGATTTACCATTTATACAAATAAGTAGAAGAGAATCCTTATATGTTCCTTAGCACCTAATACAGGCTTTGCACAAACTTGAATCAAGAAAAAATGAGAAGGGTCCCTCTCCACCCCCAGAACTATGGGTAGAATTCAGCTGAAAAAATGAGTTCAAATCTAATTTTTGGTACTACATATGTAACGCTTAAAATCATGGGCCTCAGTTTCTTCTGTTAAATGAGGGGATGTGAATTGGGTTGACTTCTGAGTTCCTTCAGTTCAAGCACAAAATGTGTAGGGCATGGGTGATGGGTTCCAGCATCATTTTTAGAGGGAACTTCCTTTTCAATGTCATAACAGATCTATTTGAGTTAATAAAATCTGGGAGCAAGTAAAAGCAAGTAAGTGTCTCATTTCACATTGATCACTGATAGAGCAGGAGTAGTGCTTACAACCAAATACCACAACCTCCCAGCAATTTAGGAAGCAGGAGGTAGATGTTACAAAATAAGCAACTGAGCTTCAGAGGATCCCTTAAAAAAATATTTTTATTGAGCTTTTTCTGTCTTTTTTTTTTTTTTGAAAAAGAACACATGGAAACTAGTGTTCATTTCCCATCAGCCACACCCACCAAAAAAAAAAAAGTTTAAACCAGACATTTTTCAAAAGTTCAGCTACCTGACATAAAGATTTCCATTCAGATACTCTCTTAGATATTTAATGTAGTGTTCCTGAGCATCAGTTTCCTCATCTACAAAATGGGAGATGAGAATAGCACCCGCTTCCCAAGGTTGTGAGGATGAAATGAGAGCATATGTAAAGAGCTTTGCAAACTTTAACAGGGTACATAAATACTACCTCTTTTTAGGTGTCCATGAGATGTGGAGGCTTTTTTAAATGTTAGACTAGATTTCAACTCAACTACTCTCTCCATATGTACAAGTGTGTATATTATATATGTATATAACAGATATGGAAACATTTACTAAGCCCCTACTCTGTGTATAGGAAAAAGTTTAGATAAGATTTGGTCTCTGCCCTTATAGAGTATATGTATTATGGCCACAAATATTTTAAATAGGCTGAGACCATGTGAATGGTGCTTCAAAAGAGGCTGTGTGTCATGGAAAGTGAATAAAGCCAATGCAATTGGGAAGCAGAGGATTTTCTAAAATTGTAGTTTAAATAATGTACCTTTTATATGAGGGCTAGAATGGAGAATTAGGACAGCTGTAGTGTGATCTACAATCCCTAGGGAAAATGGTCAGGATTAGGAAGGGAATGAATCAGCCCCACTAGCATAGCAGGTGATTTAGGGCAGAGGGGATCACCAGATGAGGTTGGTTCTCTCTCTCATATTAGATTTCCTAATTCTTAATGTCATTCAGATTCTGAGATTTAGAGAGGCTTTGGAGCATAGTGGTATGTGCAATGGAAGTGGAAGCAGAACACCTGGATTTAAGCCTTGTCACAGCCACTTATTTACAGTGAGTCTCTGGCCAAGTTACTTAATTTTTCTGAGCCTTAGTTTCCCCACATGTAAAATGGGGATAATCACCATACTTGTTCTTTCAGCCTCATAGATTTGCCATGGTAATAAAAACGAAAGACTATATAGGAAAACATTTGATAAACTGTGAAAAGCTATACCAGTGTGAATTACTCTTATTATTTTAGGTTACTTTCCCTAAAATAGGAATAACAATACCAGTTCACCTCAAAATTCAAGGTGAGTAGCAAAATCACTATGAAGCATTTTATAAATAAGGAAAGGGAAAGGAAGCATTCATGTAGTGCTTACTATGTGCCAATCATTGTGCTAAGTGCTTTTGCATATATCTTATTTGATCTTCTAAGCAAACCTGGGAGGTAGGTGCTATTATTATCCCCATTTTACATTTGAGGAAACCAAGGCAAAGGTTAAATGACTTGCCCAGAGTTAACACAATTACTGTCTGAGGCCAATTGTTAAATAATTGCAAGACAACAGTTTTAGAGTTGGATATAAATTGATCTTAGTGATAATCTAATTTCTTATCTTTTTACTTTACAAGTAGGTTTAACTAATATTAATTAAAGGTCATATAACCAAAAGCAGGATGAGGACTAAAATCCAGATCCCCAAGTCTCTCGGTTCAAGGTTCCTTCTACTGCACCATACTGCCTCTCATTTATTTATTCAATATTGGTAACTTGTTAAAATATCAACAGTAATGCAATAAAAAAGACATACTAAGATAGTACCAAGTAGGGAGATGGGATCTACAGTAAGGATATGGACTGTAATATACATTGTACGATCCAGTCCTATTTCCTTCTCTTTGCTTACTTTCTGTTTATTTGTTTCAAGGAAGACTATCATGATTTAACAGGATAAGAGGAACATTACTGTGGTATAAATGAAAGGCAGCAATAAAACTTTAAAAAAAAGATTGTTGTCAAACTTGGGGTGAGATACATACATAATACCAGAGAGACTGGGATAAGTATTCTTAAAAACACAAATGTTTCAACCACTGATTAATTTCTCATTTGGTGTACTGAAGTCTTCTTTCTGGTTAAATATTCAAAATAAGAGAGAAATTGAGTAGTTAAATGATAGCCTATCTACTCCTGAGAAGACTAGATCGGTTCTGACCTAGGCCTTGGGACCCAAAGTCCTGATTGAGGCAGAGATAATTCCCAAATGCTCCATTTTAGGTTGTCACAGCCCTGAAGTAATAATAATAGCTAGCATTTTTATGTAGCATTTAAAGGTTTACAAGATATTTTACATATATTATCTCATTTGATCCTCAACCCAAGTTTTGACCAGTTCAGTAGAACAAGGTTTGAGGATGACCCCTGGGAAACCTGAGAATGGAACAAACTCAAATCCTGGGTAAATAATGCATATGACCCAGTTTCATAAGAGACCCCTAGATCAGTCCCCCCCTAAGGAAAAGGACTAGGCTTGTAGATCATTGTCTTCCCTAACAATGCCTTGCACGTAGCAGACATACAAGAAATATTGTTGAATTTAATTCATAAATACTTGTGTAAGAAATCATGAAAATTAAAGCTAATATTTATAATAGCACTTTAAAATTTACAAAATATTTTTCTCACAGCATGCCTGTGAAGTAGGAAGACAGTAAACTGTCTTATTTGATTGAGAGGAGTTCATACAAAAATTCAGAAACCCACAATCTCTGAGTGACTTACACATGGATAATCTTACAAAAAAGTGCAAAGCTGCATTCCAGTGGAGTGGTTAACAAATGATTTCATATAAATTTAATTTTCTTCAGAATATGCAGAAATGAGGGATGGGGAGGATAATTGTGCCTTTCTCTTTTCTCACAACAAGTCCCAAAGCAGCCTAACCTAGACACCTTTCCACTGAACAAGTGCACTTTTTGATAATCTCACTATCACAGGCATAAAAAAGAACATTGCAGCTGCTGGAGAAGATGATTTTATTAAAAAACAAAGTAAAACAAAAAGCCAGGACTGGCATGCATCGTTTCATCATCCCAGTGACAAAAATATTTCCTAAAGAATATTTATGGTTGGGATTTTTTTTTTTTTTAGCATTCAGTTTTGAGATAGAAAAAACCTTACAGCACTACATTCTGTTTGGTTTGGTTTGGTTGGTTTGGTTTTCAAAAGACAGATGATCTTTAAGGCTATACTTGGACAAAAAAAATCACAGTTACTATCTAGAAAGTTTGTGGGTCAATCGAGCAAGGTCTTTTAAATAATTAAATTGGAATTAGGCTCGAAGTTGGAGAAACTATGATACCAGGATTTTATAGACACACAATATCATACTCCTTCATATGGAGGCGATTTGAAGAATACTATTTTCTAAATACTTTGGAGAAGAAAAAAAAAAGTACACTGAATACAAAACAACCCCCGCCCCCAAAAAAGCATCTGATTTCCTTCTGGATTTCCTTCCCTACTGCACTCACAGAATGATTTTTTTTAAATTGCCATGAGAAAAACTTTTTACCTCTTGATTTCTCTGCTTTTCCCTCTCTCTCCCCTGCTGTCAATTGGGAATTTCTCTCCTTCCCTTTTCCCTTTCCTCATTCACTTTCCTTTGCCTGACATTTCTGACAAGCTTTATCCAGCTATTGCCTCTTCACTGTTGCAGGGGCAGAGAGCCTGCTGTCCCAGCACTTCCTTCATGCCTGTCAGACTTCCTGAGCCCCTGTGAAATTAGTCAGAACCCTCTGATTCTACCGTAGCATAGTCATCCCTTCTAACGACAGAGAAGAGAATCCACGGGCTAGGAGAAGAGCCCAGTAGAAGAAAATC